TAGTTTGGAGGTCAAACCTTTACCAATGTTGCTGCTGCAGCGGTATAATGACAAAGATAAAGGGTACTTTCATTTGTACAGCTCAAAGAATTGTAGTTGAAAGGATTGTGTGATGGGAAATTAAACTGGCTGTTGTTGAGCATTAACAATTTTCATAATACAGGCAGTATTTGACCATGATTCTGGTTTCTAGAAATAATAGAATGTCATGCAAGAATGAATGAAACTATGACTGGCACTCCAGAACTGGATAATACCACAGAGATGAGTTAAGTACTTTTAAAGTGACTCAGAAATTTGGTTTAACCATATGTGAAATCATGTCTTTGGCTAAAGCTTAATAGATTATTGTATTCAACAACATATTCAGTGGTGTGCCGATGCTAAGATGACCAGTAGTAATGTGTTTAACAAAATCTGTTATGATGGCACTGGAAAAAGTCTTCCAAATTCCTCTGGGGAATGAACCCTAGTTATTGAATTACCAGTTAAGAGGAACTCAGGCATGCTACGGCTGCTTTTGTGCATGACCAAATTGGAAGTTGTGTCACTTGGAGACTGAAACAGAGATCTGTTTCCTCCTGGGAGATGTTGCTGAAGAACTGTTGATGCAGCAGGAAGATGGCATGTTTGTCCAACGTGTCTTCCATGGGGAAGATCCTCATTGCTCATTAATGAGAGGGCCAGAGTGCACAAACAGTATATCCATTGCCCGTTTGTTGTCGTGAGCCGAGTTGAACCAGTCTCTGAAGTTGGTCATTGACAAATTGTCAAAAATTCTTGGCTACAACTTAACACCACAAAAGACATCATGATGGACTTTCTTGCTCTGTTAGGTAAATTGTTTGGATTACTTGGCCTCGCTGTTGCAGCACAGAGTGATCCTTGCAAACCACAAACAGGGATGGAGCTTGAACATGCTTGTTCAAAGTAGTTTATTATTTACACTGTTCAGATAGGACAGAACCTGCAAAGGGCAGATGTTCCACTCTGCTAAATATACCTTTTTAACAGCAAACTAGCCCAATTCTCTTTCACGACAAAGCGCTGGTCAGCTGATGTGTGGCTACGAAGACAATTCTGCTTTTGTCCAATGTGGGATCCAGAAATCAGACGGCGTGACCTGATTCACTAAGGCCGGGATGAGAGAGGGAGAAGTTGTTGCGTGTTCTGTGCCATTGTAGCAGGGTGCTGGCAAATAAAGAGCAAGTCAGCAAATTTTTTGAGTTAATCTTTGTATACCTGCGCTGTGCTGCGTCATGTGCTTTTGAATCTGTTGCAACAGGTCTGTAATATCTAACAGCATGTCAGAGTCCTCTTTGCAGTTACATAAGTAACTGTCTGCGCACACACACCTCCACCTCCTCGGCTTTTCTGTAAACAGTGAGGGGGATGTGTGACTGTCCCGGGAAGCCCCTAAGGTTTAGCTGGTTACAGTTTGCTGCTGTTTGCCTGGGGTAGCCTGACAGCTTTCACTTGTGTTTTTATTATGACAGTTTTAACCTTGGGCTTACTGTAAAATATGCCTGTTCCTGTCACTTTTT